CCCACACATCCCTGTGGCAGTGCCCACCTGTGCCAGGGCCATATCCATGGGCAGTGGGTGCCACATGCCACTGGTTGCCATCTGTGGGGGGCTGTGGGAAGCCCATGCCATGATGAGGGGGCACATTCCCATTCCAATGGTACTCCTTGGACAAGGATGAGGATAAGGAGGAGGTGGAGGAGCTACCTGTCCTGCCATGGAATGAAGGGTCCAGCCTGGCTGGTGCTGTGGGAACAAGGACATCAGCTGTGGGAACAAGCCAACACCTGCCATGGGATGGTCCCACCTTGTGTCATACCATCCTCAGGGAATGGCTCCATCCCATCCTGGCTGGGCCTCAGTGGGAGCAGCTGATCCTTGGAATGATGGCGCAGGGAGTCTGAGAGAAGGGGACATCAGTGGGGATATTCTGGGTGACAGGCACCCAGGGAAGGGTGGCAGAGTTTCATGGCAGGGTGAAGGGAATCTAGGGACAGGGTGACAGGGACAGGGATCCCAGGGCAGGGTGACAGGGAACCCTGGGGCAGGGTGACAAGGATCCAGGGACAGGGTGACAGGGATCCCAGGGCAGGGTGACAGGAATCCAGGGACAGCATGGAGAGAGTGGGATTCTCACTGTAGAAGGTGGAGAGGGCAACAGGTGGTTTACTGCTGAACTCATAATATTCCGAGTCAGAATCCGAGCTGGAATCCTTGGCAGAGACTGTGCCCAGCGGGTCTGGGGGCAAGAAGGGGATGCGACAACTGTCACCCACCAGGACCTCCTGTCCCACAACCCCTGAGGGGGGACAGTGACCTGCCAGGCTCACCTGATTCTTTGGGAAGGCTGGAGGGAATGCTCCTGTAATCGTTGGCATTCCCAGAGGGCACACTGGGGCTCTGGGAGCTGTGGGTCACCAGGACTGGCATGGAAAGCCCCAGCGAGGACATGGCTGTGGGGACAAGGGAGTCCACCGACTCATGGCTGAGCTAAAAGTGGAGGGGATGTCCTCCAATTCCATGTCTGTGCTCCCCCTGGAATTACTTACTGTTCCTCTTCCTCAGCCTCAGCAAGGCAGTGGTGAATGCCAACACAGAGAGCAGGAGCAGAGCTGCCAGCACCAGGCAGAGGACAAAGAGGGGACTGTCCAGGGGGGGCTGTGTCCCTGAGGATGGAGACACCTCCTTAGCTGGGACAGAGAAAGGACACAACTCATCACACTCAAATCCTCTAGGAAATGGGGTGGGAATGGGAGCTCAGCTGAGGGGTTGCAGGACACTCACCATGCAGGATGGTGACATTGCTTGGTGCCACTGCCGTGGGGGTTGGCATCTGCAAGCCCTGGGAGCCTGGCAGGGGACAGCAGTGGGGTCACAAGGGCCCCACATGGCAGTGAGAGGGAAATCCCTCCCAAAAAAACCCCGGGGGGTGTCCCGTACCATTGCAGATCACTCCAACAGCTCGGGATTGGTGACATGGAGCTGATTTGTTGAAGATCCACTGGCACTGTGCCAGTGAGGGCTGAAAGTTCTCACACTCATACAGCATCTTCCCAGGCAGTGTGTGTCCATAGGAAAGGGATTGGAGTGGCTTCCCACATCCCAGAGTGTGGCACAGCACCTCAGACTCCAAGTGATACCATGTGCTGTCACACACTGTGCTCCATGTGCCATGGAAAAACACCTCCACCCTGCCAGCACAGCCATCCCGACCTCCAGAGAGACGCCATTCCTGGTGCTCTGTGGGAATAGTGTGGAGATGGGGATGCTCTGCCTGTATCCCACCTGCTGGATCCAGGATGATCCCAACCCACCTGAGCAAACCACGCCGGCATCTTCCTTGTGGCTGCAGTCATGCTCCGATGCTGCAGCACATTCCCAAAGGTGCTCCTCGTGTCCTTTGCATCCCACCTCATCCAGGAGGATGGGGCCCTGTCCCCTGCCGAAGGTGGCACTGCCATTGGCACTTATGGCATAGCCACACTGGAGCTGTCGGCACACGACGTCAGCGTCGGGAATGTCCCAACCATCATCACACACTGTGCCCCACGTCCCCTCCTGTTCCAGCTCCACACGGCCCTCGCAGCGGCTCCGGCCACCAACAAGATGGAGTGCTCCAAATCCTGGGATACACACCGGGAACAGTGACCTGGAGCTGTCCCCAAGGGTCAAAACGTGGGTGGGAGGATGTCACTCGCCCTCCCGCACTCACCTGGTGCCACCGAGGCATTCCCAGCTGGAGTGTTAGGAGATCCTGTTGGATCTGTGGAGGCTGCAGAGGGGAAGGGACAGAGGGATGGGGAGAACCCCCAAACTGGGGGTGGGACATAGGACTGACAGACACACACTCAAATCCCCACGCAGTGAGGTCAGTGGGATTTAGGAGGCTAATTCCCACTTTTTGGCTTGGCTCTCCTGGCAAGGAGCAGGTGGAAAATGGGGGGAATGTGGCTTTGTGACCACCCCAGGGGACAGTTGGAGGGCACAGATAGGGAGTGCACCCCAAAAAAGATGATCCAGAGGCTTCTCCAGGCCGGGGGTGAGCCCTGGCCATGCCTCGGCACCCCAAAAATTCCATCCCCATATGCCCCACATGTTAGGAGGGGAATGTTTCCCAGTGCTAAATCCTGGTGTGGGATCTGCTTGGAGAATTTGGGCTTCAATACGGGAATATTGGGACAAGACTCACCGGTGGGAGAGCTGAAATTTAGGGTGTCATCATGCGTCCGGGGTACTCCCACCTTCTTGCTCACCCCTGTGGACACAGAGGGATTGTACCTCCGTGGACCTATCCCAGAGCCATGGGATGCTCTGGTTATCCCTGGAAAAATTCCCCATTTGGCTTCTCTGGGGTGAAGGATTCCCCCAGGTGTCTGTTTGAGGAGGTGGATCCTGGGGATCCCCCACCTTAGCTGATGGGGTCTGGAGTTGATATGTTAAGGAAAAGGTCTGGGATGAGGAGAGAAAGTGGGAATGAGCTGGCCTGGGGGGATGGAGGTGAGCGAAGGCGGAAATGGGGGTGATGGGGCTGTTCTCTGAGGCCTCAAGGCTGTTCCTGGCAGCCATTTCAGCTGCTAAATCACCCCAAAACCTTCCAGTTTTGGGGAGTGGGTGGCATAGCCCTCCAACCAGCATAGCTCCCCCAAACCAGCATTGCCCCCCCAACCCATCTGGGCGTGATGCTGTCCCGAGGAACAGGATGGGGTTTGTTCCCTCGAGGCTCTGTGAGCAATTGTAGAGGTTCAAGATCCCATTTTAAGGGTCCCCAAGGTCCTTTTGGGGTCCCCAACCTGCGGGATCAGCTTTTAGAGCATCCCAGTCCCTCACTCCCAGTGAGGGGCACATGGAAGAGGAAGGGAGGTCAGAGGAGGTGCAGAGCTGCCACCAGAGCATCCTCCACTGGTGACACCCCTGAGGGTGACCCCTGGAACCTCCAGTCATCCCCAGCAGGGCCCACCCCAGGGAGGTGGCATGTCCCCAACCCCCGAATCAGCAGCTTCACCACTCCAAGGTCCCCAAAAGTTCAGGATGGAGATGGTGACCTACCTTGTCCAGGTGCCACGGTGGAGAGAGCCACCAAGAGCAGGCAGAGCCTCCCCATCCTGCTCAGTGGCACTTGGGGACACAGGGGTCGGGTGGTCCTTCCCTCAGCAGCCTGGGGACATCGTCTGGATGTGTCCCCAGGCTCTAGTAGATGCAGTGAAGGGGAACAGGAAGCAGCTCTACGCTGTGGGGCGGAGGAGTGTGCTGAGCTGGCTCCATCCTGCCTGCCAGCAAAGGAAATGGAATGCTGGGGACAGTGCCACCCCTCCAGATCACAGGAGGCTCATGGATCTGGGGGTCCCACCCCAAGGGATGCAGATCTTGAGGAGCCACCACCATCTGGAGCTTGTTTGTGCCACCAGGTCATGGGTTTGGGACAGCATTGCTGGTGGCATGGGGGGACTCAAGCTGTAGGAGCTCCATGGGGTGATGGAGCAGTGCCTGGGGTTCATCATTCTCCCTATTTTGGGGGGATGAGGTGGGAAGGATGAGAGACCTGCAGGGGACAGCATGAGGTGACCCCAAAAATGTACCATCCATCCCCATAGATAGCTCCAAACCCTTTGGGACCTGCCTGCTGGGGAAAGGAGAGAGGGAAGTGGGGATGAGACCTGGATCCTGCCTGTGATGCCAACCTTCATCCCATACTGGATGTTCTACTTCCAGGTGGGGTTTGGAGTGGCCTCCATGCCCATCATTGGTGGTAGATCCATCCAGGAACTGATCCCATGGAGCCACCGTCCCACTGCCTTCCATACTGAGTCAGTATTACCTGCACCTCCACATCCCAAGCATCTTCCAGCACATCCAGGACCCTCTAGGGATATGAGGTAAGGGATGGGACTGGAATCTCCATGGGCATAATGGGGGAGGGATGGGTTTGGAGCTGGGGTATCCCAGGAGATGCTGATCCCCACCATGTGTGAGGGCTGAGATCCAGTTGGCCTCCTGGGGACCTGGGATGCTGGGAAAGGGGGACAGGATCCTGGTCACCTCATCTTTGCCAACCCAGCTGGAAGCAGGATGATTGGGTGTGGGTCTCCTGCTATCCCCAGGGTGATTTTGGGGGTGTCTTAGGATCACTGGGACAAACTGTGAGGCTGGAAGGGTGGTAATCCTTGTGGCGCCTCCAAATAAGGGGATTTGCTGGCCAATTCCAGTTGCAGGGAGAAATATGGGGAGGGTCAGGGACTGGAGGGGGAAAGTGTTGGGGCTGGAAGTGTGGAGAAGGAGGATGGCAGGAGAGGGAGGAAGGAGATCCCTTATCCCAAGGCCACCCTGGCTGGGCAAGGGCCAGGAGCAGCCCTGGATCCATTCCTATGATCAGCTCCCACATGGAGCCAAGGTCAAGGGCACTTGCCCATTCCCATTCCCAGGAGCCTAGAAGTGCTGCAGGAGCAGGATGGAACACATAGGAGATTCCCATTTATTGTTTTTTAAATACTTTATTTTTGTAACAACATCAGAATTAAAAACTTTTCCATAAATACCATTCCCTGGCAGCCCTTTCCCGGGCATTCCCGGGAAAAAAATGTGTACAAAACAGATGCG